GCCGGGCGGAGCGGGCCCGCCACACCCGGAAGTCCCGCGCCACCCGGCCCTTCGGGGACCGGCCCGGAAAGGGCGATCAGGGCGGCGATTGGTCGGGACCCTGAAGAGCCCGGCCTGCTACAGCGGCCCCACCCGCCTCCAGCCCTCGGGCCGCGCCCGACCGTCCCGGAACTGCCCCTGCCCGCCGCGAGGGGACAAGCGTGCGCGAGCCCCGCCGTCCCCACCCTGCGGCCACGAGCGAGGCGGGGCGCGACCGGGCCGGACCCGGAGTGGGACAGGCGAGGGCCGCCGTGCGGAGCAGGTATGGGCCGGGATCACGCTGTGAGGCGGAGGTGGGAGCCAGACAGTGGGAGAGACACGGACACGAGCGACGCAGACACAGGACAGAGGGGCCCACACCAGAGAGACGCGTAGGAGCAGGGTCGGGACAGGTGCACATGGCCGCAGAGACCCTGAGCCGGGCGGCGGCTCTCATCTCAGCAGGCCCGGAGCAATGGCGGCCCCAGGAACCCCTGCGCCACCCGCCCCAGTCGCGCCTGGGGATCTCTCCGAGGGAGGGAGCCGGGGACCTCCTGACCCCCTGCCAGAGCCCAAGCAACTCCCAGAGCTGATCCGCCTGAAGCGAGACGGAGGCCGCCTGAGCGAGGGGGACATCAGGGATTTCGTGCGCGCTGTGGTGGATGGGACCGCGCAGGGCGCTCAGATCGGTGCGTGGGGAGGGCCGGGCACCCTTCACTTCACCCTGACTTGGACCCCCACTGGGAAGTCGGTCCCAGACACTGCCCGCCCCTGGGGATGCCACAGAACCCCAGCATTATCACTGGCCCCAGTGCTCTGGGGACGACCCCCTCATGCTGCCCACACTGTCATACCCACATCTAGGGGCCATGCTCATGGCCATCAGACTGCAGGGCATGGATCTGGAGGAGACCTCAGCACTGACCCAGGCCCTGGCCAAGTCCGGGCAGCAGCTGGAGTGGCCAGAGGCCTGGCATCCACAGCTCGTGGACAAACATTCCACAGGTGGTGTGGGTGACAAGGTTAGCCTGGTCCTGGCCCCTGCCCTGGCTGCCTGTGGCTGCAAGGTGAGAGACCACCTCCTCTCCAGACCAGAACCTCTGACCCCAGAGAGTCAGCAGCCCAGCTGCCCACAGGCAGCTCCCAACCTCAAGCCTGACCAAAACAGCCCCCAAAGACGGGACCCAGGCTTGTCCCCTGCCAACCTCCCAGTACAGAATTTGGGTCCCTCTTAGGCCCAGGACTAGGTCCCTTGAAATAGAACCAAGCCCCTCTGTCCCCCTCCACTTACCAGAACCCCCAAAGGAAGAGCTGAGTATTCCTCTCCTGTCCACCACACTTGTGTCCCCAGGGATAGGTACCAGCTTCCTCCCCCACTGACACCCACCCCCAACCAGGACAATTTCCATTCTATCTCCACCAGCTGAGCTGAGCACCGACTATAACTGCTTAATACTTTTCAACCCCAGCTGAAGTCCTGACCAGGGAGGGTGAGGGGGCAGGGGATGAGGGGCACTGTGCTAGTATACTCAGCATCCCTGCCCACCAGGTACCAATGATCAGCGGACGTGGCCTGGGGCACACAGGGGGCACCTTGGATAAGCTGGAGTCTATTCCTGGATTCAGTGTCATCCAAAGCCCAGAACAGGTACAGGTGGACCACTGATTGGTTTGATGGAGACATTGGCCAGAATCATTGATGGGTCATTAAATCAGGGTCGCTAAGGAGGATATTAATCAGTTATTCATGGGTGATTGACAGCCATTGGACTTTGGTCAAAGTCATCAGCGAAACTTTAATCAGGATAACGGAGATGTCGACCTAAAAAAGACACCAGAGAAAAGTTTCTTCTAATATAATGATTTTATTTGGGAGAAAGCAAAAAAGATTATAGTCTGGGAAGCACGCCTGCGGCAAACCACAAGTGCATCTCGAGAGGGCAGGGTAAAGAGAAGCTTTTATTGGCAAAAAGGAGCACGTGCACGCTGCCCGAAAAGCGTTCACTGGTTCCAGAGGCTCAAAGCCAGAGCTGGCCTCAGTGAAGGTGTCATTATTGGGCAAATGTGCTTTAGAGAGAACTGATCTGAATTGCTGCAGTCCTGAAGAAAGGATTTCTTGTGGGGTTATTTCAGAAAGTCCTTGAGACAGTGCTCTCGGACTTGAAAGCATGAGCTCCCCTTCCTGCTTTCCCAACTCCAATGTGTTTGGGTCGGACAAGAGTGATTTTACCCAGGTATCCGCAGCTTTCCCTTGGGACTTGGTCAAAACCACTGATGGGCCACAGACCATGAACAGGCCATAAATCATTAGCCAGGATCTGTGAGGGGTCAAAGGTCAGAGTCATTGCTGAGGATTTATCAGAACCATTCCCAGGTCACTGATAGTCGTTGGTACAGTTTTGGACCTTTGTCAAGGGTGCTGATGAGCTACTGATCAGTGAGAGGGTCACTGACCAGAGAGGGGGACGGGTTTTGACCAGATGCAAGTGCTGCTGGAGCAAGTGGGCTGCTGTATTGTGGGTCAGAGTGAGAAGCTGGTTCCTGCAGATGGAATTCTGTATGCAGCAAGAGACGTGACAGCCACCGTGGACAGCCTGCCTCTCATCACAGGTGACCTGACCCAACTCCAGGGCCTGCCTCCTGCATGTTACAGACCTACTGACCCCCAACCTCACAGACTCAGGGTCCTCTCATTGACAGTGACCTGACCCCGGTGTCACAGTGTCCCCTCATCAGAGGATGCCTGACCACCAATCCACGAGGTGGCCTGATACACAGCCCACAGGTGCCGCCGCCCCCATCACAGGAGACTTTCACAATGCCCCCAGAGTCAGCATCCTCCAAGTCCCCTGGAGAGCCGTTGTCTCCAGCCCCTTGTGCCTCCCCTCAGCCTCCATCCTCAGTAAGAAGGTGGTGGAGGGACTGTCAGCTCTGGTGGTGGACGTTAAGTTTGGAGGAGCCGCAGTCTTCCCCAACCAGGAGCAGGCCCGGGAGCTGGCCAGGGCGCTGGTGAGCACTGAGGCCTGCTGAAACCCGCACGGGCTTCCATGGGGCCCTATGTCTCGCCTCTCTATAGGGGTGGGTTTCTTCGTGGGGGCCCAGCTTCTCCTTCATGCCTCCCATCCCCTCCTGCCTCTCTGTCTCCTCAGCAGTCCCGCTTGACCCCAGCCTCCCCCCTGGCAGTCCCTCCGTCCCTCACGCACACACCACCCCACAATAACCGTATTCAATCGAGTCTGACCTGGCCTGGCTTCGGGTCACCTCCACGGTGCCCCTGAACCTCAGGCCAGGTATAAGAACCGCTTGGCCCCACGCTGAGCTCTGACACATCGCTCGTTCCTGGTCCACACCCCAAGCCTTCCCTGACCTCATCCTGGAGGGGTGGCTACGCAGGGTGGGCTGCTGGCGGCCCCGCGGGGTCCGCACTGAGTGACTTCGCTGCAGGTGGGCGTGGGGGCGGGCCTGGGGCTTCGGGTCGCGGCGGCCCTGACCGCCATGGACAACCCCCTGGGCCGCAATGTGGGCCACACCCTGGAAGTAGAAGAGGCGCTGCTCTGTATGGACGGCGCCGGGCCCCCAGACCTGCGCGATCTGGTCACTAGACTCGGTGAGTACGGCGGGACACGGGAGGGCCCCGGGACCCAGGCCGCCCCCGCTGGATGGCCCCTGCCCAGCCGCGCCTAAGCCCCGCCCCGTCCCGCCGGCAGGGGGCGCCCTGCTCTGGCTCAGCGGACAGACGCAGGCCCCGGCCGAGGGC